GCTTTATAAGTTACGACTAGCACCTTGAAGCGTATCTGGAGACTGATCGGTAACCAGTGCAGCTCGCGGAGGATAGGTGATGCTGATTATGCTTTTACTGCCCACCGTCGCATCAGTGAGACGGGCAACTGTACAAATTGATTACACAACACAATCATAAAAATATACAGGGGGTGGGTCCTCAACTTAAGGCCATAATTGAGCTCAAAATTTATGGTTGTACAATGTGGTGATTGGTCAGCTGGTTACCCCATGACCATGCCCGATTTTATGACCCTTTTTGTGGCCGTTGTTAAGTGATCGCCACAGTTGTTAAGCAAACACAGTGGTCATTAAGCAAATCCATTTTATTCAGTGGCCAGGTTTTGCCAGAACCTGGAAGCAAACACCAGAAACGGGCAAACACCAGAAAGTGTGGCCATCTGACCACAAGATGCTTCAAATGGCCATAAATGGAAGTTGGCGGCCAAGCATCCAAAATGCAATCCAGTGGGAGTAGCTGTTGGAACCATTAGGAGGGGAGTCCATTGTAGCTTAGAACAGTTGTTAAGCTACAGGTCATTAAGCAAGGACATTCTGTCCGTACATACCTACTTTTCTCTCATTTTAGTATTTTCCAGTTTGTTTTCCCTTATTTTATTTTATTTTCAACTTAACACAAGACAGATAGACAGATTTCAGCTAAATCGGGGATTTGTTGATTGTCTATTGAGATTCTTGGTCATCCAAGTCATGATTGTCCCAAAGATGCTTTTGTCCTAAGGCAACTGGACTTTGTTTTTTTTTTCCTGAAGATGTTTCGCTTCTCATCTAGGAAGCTTCTGAACCGAAGAAGCTTCTTGGATGAGAAGCGAAACGTCTTCAAGGAAAACATAAAGTCCAGTTGCCTTTTGAAAAAGAAAAAAGCATCTTTAGGAGGACCTGTCGATTATATTCCGGAGCCCATTTCCAGTGAGGAGGGTGGAAAATATAGATTTTTTCCAATCTGAAATGTTTTGAAATAGTTTTTGTGCTGTGTAGCGGTGTCATCTAACTGCAAAACGAGCAGATCATTCTTTTCCTGTTGCAGTTTCACTTGCCATATGCATGATCTACAGCAGTGTTTCTCAACCTTGTCAACTTGAAGATGTCCGGACTTCAACTCCCAGAATTCCCCAGCCAGCGAATGCTGGCTGGGGAATTCTG